TGCCAGGGACCAAACCCAGGGCTTCCAGCTTGCTAAACAAGCATTCTACTGCTGAGCCAAATCCTTAGCCCTTAACATACATCATTTGGATTCCACCAACCAAAGCTGTTCTTCCCAACAGAAACCTCCTGGTAGTGACATCCTAGGCATGGTGGAGTCATAGCACAAGGCATGGTGTGTGGGTTCATGATGTGGCTGGTGTGAACAAGCCTATTTTATTACTTCATTTTATTTTGAGTGAGGGTCTTGCACAGTAGTCTAGGCCAGCCATTAAATTTGCCAGGTAGCCCATGTTGGCCTCCAACTTGTGATCGTTTTGCCTCAGTCTCTTAAGTGTTAGAATTTATAACCCTACTTTTAATTGTCATTTAATTAATTGACTTATTTACTTATTGCATTTCAACATTTGTATTGAAAGGTATATCTTAGTACCAAATATAATGGTAGTTGGTTAGGTCACCTCTTTCAACTCAAAATTAATTCTGATGTTTTCAAAATATTGAAATATATCAGCCTTGGCTGGGGACATAGCTCAGTGGCCTAAGAGCTTGCCTGGCAAGTGCAAGGTCCCAAGTTTGATCCCTGGTACTGAAAAAAGAAAAAAAGAAATGGAGAGAGAGAGAGAGAGAGAGAGAGAGGAGGGAAGAAGGAAGAGGGAAGAAACATACCAGCCTTTTGGTAAAATTGAACTGATCTACAAATCTTGATATACAAAAACTTAAAGGTAGATGGGCCAGGAATATAGTTCAGTGGCATAAGTGCCTGCCTGGCAAGCACAAGGTCCAAGGTAGAATATACTGTGGTTCTTTATTTCATTTTTCAATGCTTATTTATTTATAACATGAGGCCAAAATTGGTTACATCCATTCTGGATAGACTCAGAATTCAGGCTGCACTGAGGGACTGTTTACACCTCTAACAACATATGTACATCTCCATCTCACATTCCTCACATGGAGCATTCCAGATACTACCTCAGCAATCTCGTACTTACAGAAGTGCCTGGGGCTGGGGAGGTAGCTTAGTAGAATAAACACTTACCTGGCAAGATCAGGGTCCTGAGTTCAATCCCTGGTACCACAAAAAAAAAAAAAAAAAAAGAAAAAAGAAAAAAAAAAGTGCCTACTTACTTTTCTTAAAACATACTATATGATTTTGTGAAAGTATGTTGTATTCCTTAAAAAAAAAAAAAAAGAAAAAAGAAAGAAAGAAAGAAAACTAGCAGCAATGCCAGTTTTATAGAAATACTCCATAGTGAAAACTTCCGGAGTGCTTTATCTTGCCAGAACTTAGGATAAAGCAAATTTTCAGAGTGATAATAGACTTAGAGTTACTCTACA